CGGCTGGTTTGACCGTCGTAGTGGCGGGTCGGTAGCGATGCCCGGATTCCTCGGCGGTGGTTGCGAGTCGTTCCCAGAGTATCTCGAACTCTGGATCGTAGCGTGTTGGAGTATGCCGTTGATCTGCCATGCTGATGCGGACTTTTCCTCGGATCGGAAATCCCGCATATTTATACCCCTTTCAGGGTATAAAAAATTTACCCCGCACGGCGTAGTTCGTGGCTTCGCGTGATTCGTCAGATTTTTCACATTTTCTGGTAAACTAGCTTTGTTTAAACGGTCTTAGTTGTTGTCGGTTTCGTCGGTTTTGTTTACGTCGTTGTCCGGAGCCGGCTTTAAGTCATGTATGTGTATATGTCGATGCCACTTTCCCCGGGCGTCGCGCAAGTCGAAAATTACCGGCGATATTATTTTGCGTACGGTTAACGGTCCGGTGTATGTCGGCGCTAATTTTGCCGCGACGGCCTCGTTTTTATTAGATAGGATGTGCACGCGCCTCCACACCTTGTCTCCGACGACGGGTTTCCATGCGCGGTGTCGCATGTCGTAATATTTCGCCTGCCTCTGAAATGCCTGCGCGAGGTTGGCGCGGACGACCTCATATGCTTCCGGAGGATGCGGCAATTCGTCTCGGGTGGCGATACGGTGATGTCGCGTTGATCCGCGGGGAGGGGGCTGTTTATTTCTCGCCCATAATTTAAAAACGCCGGGCTATACCCGGTGGCTTCATGCCACGCCGTGTTATAGGCGAACTGCAACGCCTCAAGGTTTCGATCCCAACGACGATGATCGCGATTCACATATTGGCGGATCATAGTTTTGACGGTTTTGTTGGTTCGTTCCACCGGGTTGCATTGGGGCGTGTACGCGGGGGAGGTGCGGTGCGAAATATTAAACGTTTCTAACATCTTTCTAAATTGGCCGGAGATAAATTGTCGCCCGTTGTTGGAGACGAGGGTGCGTGAACGTGTCGGTAAATGATGCGATTTTCGACGGCTTGCGCGACGGCGGCGGCGGTGGCACGGCGGAGTGGTTGTAATTCCACCCATTTTGTGAAACGGTCCTGCATCACTAGCAGCCACGAATGTCCATTTACCGAGCGGGGCAACGGTCCTATTAGATCGATCGTTATTTGTTCCCACGGATAAGACACGGGGGCCGTGTGTAAAAAGCCGGCGGGTCGGTTTTGCAAGGATTTGTGCGCGAGGCAATTTTTGCAATTTCGAACGTACCGGGCGGTGTCAGAAAACATGCCAGGTCAGTAGTATAATCGCGCAGCACGAGCGATCGTTTTGGCGATACCGAGGTGACCGGCTGTCGGTTCATCATGCAACCGCCGCAGTATTTCGGTACGTTTTTCTCGCGGTATGCATTCCTTCCATCGTTCGACCGGGACCTCGCGAAAGTCGGTTGAATGTAAGAAATGGCGGTACAGCTTCCCGTTCTCGATCCGGTATTCGGGGAAATCGGCAGGTCTTTCCTTCACCCGGTGGAATTGCCGTTTATACCAAGGGCATGGGCTTCCTTGGCGAGTGGAATGAACGGGCGTCTGTCGGGAAAGTGCGTCGGCCACGCGGTTCAACTGCCCCTTCCGATATTTGATATCGAAGGTGTATTGCTGGAGCTCGAGCGCCCAGCGGCCTAATCGTCCTGTCGGAGACTTTAGGCGTTGCAGCCATTGGAGAGCCTGGTGATCGGTTATCACCGTAAATTCATAGCCCTCTAGATAGCCGCAGATGTCGGATTCCTCACACGACTGCTAAACATTCGAGCTCGGTCGCGCTATAATTTCGCTCGGCCCCGTTGAGCGTTCGGCTAGCGTATGCGACTACGCGTTCGCCCTCCTCCAGGTGTTGTGTCAGGACCGCCCCGAGTCCGTAAGTGCTTGCGTCGGTCTGTAGTATGAACCGCCGCTTAAAATCCGGGCAGGCGAGGACTGAGGCGGTAGTGAGTGTCTTTTTTAGTTCGCGGAATGATTTCTCTTCCGCTGCTCCCCATTGCCATTTGACGCCCTTTTTTGTTAATGTGGTCAGTGGGGCGGCGGTGGTGGAAAAGTTCGGTATGAACCTTCTGTACCACGAGGCTACTCCCACGAATTGTCGAATCTGTTTGACATTGATCGGTGCGGACCATTGGGCGATGGCTTTTATTTTGTCGGGATCGGTCTGAATGCCGCGGCGGTTCATAATTAATTACATGACCGAGGTATTTAAGCTCGGTAAGGCAGAAATGGCACTTCTCGGGATTTAACCGGAGGCGGGCGTCGCGCAGTCGACGGAAAACTTCTGCGAGATGTGTTAGATGTGATTCGAAAGACGGGCTAGCGACGACGATGTTGTCTAGATATACGAATACGTTGTCTAGATATACGAATACGTTTGGTTCGAGTTCGGGACCGAGTATGCTATCGAGGAGGCGTTGAAATGTGGCCGGTGCAGAATGTAGCCCGAACGGCATGACTTTGAATTGCATCAGCTCTCGTCCGGGCACTGTGAACGCGGTTACCGGTCGGCTTTCGGGGGCGAGGGGTACCTGCCAATATCCCTGTTTGAGATCGAGGGTAGACAAATAGCGCGCCCCGCGAAGTTTGTCTAGTGTAGCGGCGATGTGTGGCAGCGGATACGCGTCTCGCTCGATCACTTCGTTTACCTTGCGGAAATCGATGCAAAACCGTCGCTTGCCGTCTTTTTTCCGGACGATTACGACGGGGGAACTCCACGCGCTGGAGGAAGGCTCGATGATGCCTTCATCCTCCATCTGTTGTACTTCTTCGTCGATGATCTTTTGCATCGCAGGGTTTCGGGGGCGATATCGCTGTTTGATCGGTACGGGGGTTTTTACTCGGATGACATGTGTAATGCGGTCGGTGGGCCCTTTCACGCCCTCGAATTTGGCCAGTTCACATTCAGGAAGTCTGTTAATTCGCGTTCTTCTCGGGGCGTGCGGCGTGCCAAACCGGCGGTGACGGCATAGGAGGGGTGATATTGTCCGGTGGTTGCGGAGGGAGGGAGTAGTGTCAAGCGGAGGCGGGCCCATAGGTCGATACCGATCAGGATCGTACTGTCTAGAGTCGGCAGAATCTGGAAGGGGTGGCGGATATCTTGATGGTGGGTGGTTAGAGGTAGCGTAATTCTTTTTTTTTTTTGTTAGAGAGGAGGAATCTTCACAAGACCCCCACCTGACGACTAGTGGGGAGTGTGGGATTCGAGTGGGTGGCACGTCGAACGAAAAGCCACCCAGCCTCGCCTACCCACTAAACCTCCTCTATACACACAACGACCGTGGCGGGGGAGGTCCTGGAACGTTGACGGAACAACTCATCACGAACCCTCCCCCTGGTCATGGCCCCAAAGGGCAACACAATCATTCGTCATCAGGAGTACCAGACAGACATAAACATTTATACAAAAGCAATCACACACAAAATCATGCACACCACTCCCTCCAACAACGGGAGGATATAGCCAAGCAGGGGGATAGGAGAAAGAAGAAGGCACACCTCTCGTGTGGCTCCAAAAAGGATGATAACCTGCCCGAGTCGGTGCCAGTTGCAGTGCGTAGAAGCGTAATCTTCCCGTTAATATGGGCGAGTGCCCTATCGGCTAAATGGATCTGGCTTTTGGCGGGGGTAACTTCGCAACCGATTTCTTGAGCGTAGCGCGCGGTCTCAGAATTTATCATTGAGATTTCGGACCCTGTGTCTATGAGTGCGGAGAAGTTTCGCGTGCCGATTCGGACGCGGATGTGTGGTCGTGGCGTATAGTCTACGTCCGCGAGTTTTCCGGCCGGGGTGTGTTGTTGGCGGTCCCGGCCGTCGGGGCGTTTCCCGGACGGGGATGGCATTCTTTCGTCAGTACCCCGTCTTTGCCGCATTGCGAGCAAAATTTCCGGGGAGGTCGTTTGCACGAGAAACGATCGTGACCTCGTTGCTTGCATCTCCAGCACGTGTTCTGGCGATCGTAGGGAATTGGTTGCGATGGCGTGGCCGTATTCACGCATCGACATTCTTTATCCTCTATTACGCGAGCTTTTTGTATTTCTTCGTATTCGGTGGCTTGGTCTGTAAGGTCGTGTAACGTGGTTCTTTCGTTAATCCGGACAAACATTTTATACTCGGCCCTCATGTTCTCGTAGAGTCGGTCTATTTTTTCGGGTGTCGAGTGATTTCCCGCGCGGCGCATTAATGTGAGCATATGCGTGACGTACTGCGAGAATGTTTCGTCGGGGAGTTGCCTCCGGTCGCGAATTTCTTGTGCCAATTTTATCTGATAGCGACGCGGTAGGAAGTGACGGCGGAAATCGGTTAAGAAATCTTCCCAGCCCGACCATTCGTTCTCGTTATTGCGATACCAGGACAGTGCATTGCCTTTAAGTAACTCGGGCAGACCTTCTAGCATAGTCTCGTTGGAATATCTATATTGTCTCTGTAATTCGGTAAGTCTTTCCAGAAAGGAGAGAGGATCGCGGCCGTCGAAGTGACACCCCCATTTCCGGATTTGATTCATGGTTTTGGCGTGACTCATTTCTGCCGAGGGTAAGCCGGAAGGCGGTGGGGTGACTGGGGAAGTTTCGGTGTCGGTGGATGTTCCGGCTTTTACGGTAGGCATGATGTGCGGATGAGTGTTCGCGTACGTTCGTAATCGGCGGCGGAGGTCTTCGAGAGTCGCGGTTGTATCGATACCGAATGACTGTGCTACACGAAGGGCGTCTGGTTTTGAGAGAGTTTGTACCCAGGCTGGCATCGGCTATCCCCTTTTTCTTATTTATTTTTTAAAACGGTCCCTGTTCGGGCGCCATGTAACGGAACGTCCCTGCGCGCTCGGATTTTTGTCGCTAGGCACGGACGCGGGGACGTGCGCTCGGTGTTCGCTCGTCGGATGCCGGGTTCGTATCGATATGCGCGTTGCCAGGCAACCGGGCCCGCGCGTGTGCGTTGCTAGGCAACCGTTGACGCTCGCCGTGACACGTGGGGCGGACGTCGTGGGAAAGTCTGAGAACGCTCCGACTTTCGAGATGAGATGGAGTGACAATACTGAGAACTCTCGGTATTGTCGGGAGGAGGAAAATCTGAGAACCTCTGATTTTCCCCAGACGGGAGATGCAAGAATATCGAGAACGCTCGGTATTCGTTGCGAGGGCGAGAAAGCTGAGAACACTCCGAATTCTCGAGAAAGGATAGAACAGGAATACGGAGAACGCTCGATATTCGCTGAGAGAATCTTCTCTCGCTGTTCTGGTCGGAACGGTTGTCGGTGTTGGACAGGTCGGAGGAACGGATAGGACTGGTCTCTCGTCTTAAAATTCATCGGGTATTTATACCCCTATCCGCGCCATGTGTCACCGTTTAGTTTGTTAGCGTTTGTTAATGTAACAATAGCTGTCACGTTGTCGCTGCGTGACAGCTCGTCGGCGCGCGTGTGTCGGTCGGTCGCGGTCGGGAATGTTCGGGCGGCCTCGGATGGCGCGGGCCGCATTTGCGCGCGCTAGTAACAGAGCATCTTTCGGATGCTCTGTTACAGGGTTCACGGTCGACCAGAGATTTATCGAAGCGAGAATTCAGAGAGAAGCTTCGCCGGAATATCAACTTCTAAATACAGTCATCGAGGAAGCAAGGTACAACTTCATGCGTGATTATTATTTAAACTTTTATGAGTATTTCATTTGAAATTTTGCACATACTTGCAGATTGAATTCAATCGCGTTAGAGGAGTGGAGAAACCTTATAAACGAAAAATTAGCGAAGAAAGAGCGAAAGAAGAAGAAGAAGAAGAAGAAGGAGAAGGAAACGAAAGAAAAGGATAGCAAGGAGGTCACTGGTAGCGATAGCAACAATACCGGACCGAGCAATTACTGCATGGATATGGCGGAAAACGAAAGTACATAGAATTTTATATCTGTGATTATTTTATTTTATTACAACTTTATAATTATTTTTTCGTTTTCTTTTTATATTTCATAATAAAGATGTATTATAATTCTATATTTCTATATCTATCTATCTATCTTATAATTTTATATTTTTAAATGCAAAAATTGAGCGACATAGCCACGTGGCTAATCTAAGAAATTTTTATAATTATAAGAATAATGTTTATTGTTTGTCAAAGGTAAGGTGCAATCGATGAAACGCAACAACAGGCGTCTGATGGAGAAAATGCGGAAATGTTGCCATCTGAGCGAGTAATGCAGATGGAGGAAGAAGAAAAGCGTGAACAAGAAGAGAAGAAACGCTACCGTGATCCGCCAACTGTATTCAAAGACTTGATAGATGTACAAGCGGAATACGATGGTCTGGTAGACGCTCTCAAGGAAAAATTGAACGACGAAGAACAAACGTGCTTGGACGAGCTGTGTCTTGGAGAATGAAGGTTTTTGGGCTTTAGGCGATAATTTCCTTCGTAGGTGAGTTATCAAAGAGTACAGGGGTGCAGGATTTTCAATATTTCTGGAATTATGCTTAATTTATCAAACTCTGAATTTTAAAAGGATTTTTAAGTTGAATAATTTATTAAAAATTGATTTTAAGATAAGTTTTTAATATTTGCTTCTAAAAACACATTGTTAAAATATAAATTATTTATAAATTATAAATTATATAAAATATAAATGGTTTCATATCGAGTCCTCTACGATAAATCATTAGGCAGCGATGTACGAGTAAAATTGTTGAATGTGCTGTCTGTCGCCGCACTGAAAGATGATATGATCTTGTTGCATCAAGACAGAGCACATCATCATGACTTATGCCTTTGATATCGATCAGCATCCACTAGAGGAACAACTTACATTAGCACAATTTGTAAGCGCAAACGGAATTATTAAAATAATCATTTAATAATGTCTCGCAATTTACTATTGCTTTATACTGGAATTTTTCGATTTTATAAAATAATAAAAAGAATATACACTACTTACTGTAGTATTTTCGAATTTTATTAAAAATCTGTGATGTCAATATTTTAACTTCAAATAGTTGGCGAATATGAGAATCTTAGCAGCTCGGAATGACTACTCTATATATCTAGAATGGCAGCATCAAGATCAGAACATCAGTAGCAACATTAACAATATAAGGATGACAATCAAAGTCGCGGTACACTCGTTGCTCTCAAATTCGGAAGCTCTGCAGATCCGTGGCGCGGCCATCATTCATAACCTTGTTTGCAAGGAGATAAAAAATCTGTATTCTGTAACTGTTGTTGTGTTAACTGTAGTCCTGTATCCTTCCTGTCCAATTAACATTCTCATCTCTCGCCGATTCTCGCTTTCATTTTCTCGTAACTCATCATTGCAAGTGCTTCGCGTATCGAAGACATCTTACTGAAGACTATAATTCTGTAAAGATTATCATTCAGTTTTAACGTACAAATTTTTTTCTGCACAAATTTCTTTCTTACAAGACAGATTTCGTAGACTTTGCTTGTTTTACTTATTTTATTTATATAAATTACAGGAACATAAAGGAAAAGATACAAATCGAAATTGAATCTGAAGTTAGATCGATTCTTCGATGCACAATTTGTGACGTCGTTTTCGCGTGCTTGCCGATGTCGTAAGAGAAACAAGTTCGCATCGTGCCTTAAGAAAGAATGCTGTCTTTATTAATAAAGAAAAAAGAAATATATTAGCTCTGTAAATCTATCAATGCCAAACGCAAACGTCGACATGAACGTCCCGCCTGGTAACTCAATGAACGAGCAAACAAAAAAAATAGAGAATATTCATATTTACCATTAATAAAAAAACGGCACAAAGGATACATGACTCACCATATGTTCGTTTGTATGCGCGCAAACGAGCATATGGTGAAGCTCTCTTAATCGCGGCAGGGAGCGGGTAGCGTGATAACAGATATCTCTCCAGAAATCGGATACTGTTTTTGCAGAAAATGAACAAAAGCAAAAATCTACGGCGACTTTTAGACCGAAAGACAGCATTTCTAAAGTACCTATCTAAATCTCCATGTTAGATCGAATCTTGCGCAGCGGTAAGTCGTCAATTATTATCGGTGTCCTGCGAGTATACGCGCGAGATGTAATAACACGATGTGCACGGCAAATTGAGATCGAGTTCTCAATATCAACACACATGCGTTGGTAATATACACATATTAACGATTGTTAAAACTACAGGCAAAATATTTATACATACAATACGTCTTTCAAGTTTAATACATTTAATATAACTTCTCTGTCTGTTTTGTGTGCAAAAGAAGAAACTGAATGTAATTGTTTCTTTTATTATTATGATAAAAAAAATTAATTCAATTAAATCAATTTCAAAATAAACATAAAATGGAGTTTTAGAGTTTTAAATATTTCGCGAGCGCAATTTATATCATATTTTGACAATTCTTGTGTGTCTCGTGCAATCATAATATCTTCATTTGCATTTTTTTTTATTTGTACAAGAAAGGCGCGACGTATTTCCAAATGTCTTTACGTATATGTATATTATAGGTGTCCGATGATGTCGCAGTGGAGCTGACAATGGTGTTGCCGCAATACTTCAACGGCTACTTCACTCCCGCAAAAGAGCAATTGTATACGTGCATGAAGTCATTGACATGTTTCACACACATCAGCGACCAGGAGGTACTGCAGCTCATACAGATGATCGGGTCCGAACCGAATAAATTTAAGGGGACCTCCCAGAGAATCTGTCGACGAGCAGATCGATCAAGTTAACAAAAAACTGTGTTAAATGTCCGCCAAAATATCTGTCTACAAAAAAAACATGTTCCAAGTGTGCGATGAAACCAAATACGCTTCCACTATGTTCAAAATGGATTTTTACTTAGAGATTCTATCGAGTTATAGTCACGTTTATTATTAATATTATTATTATTATTTATAAATTATTGTTGTCATTTTAATAATATTATTAGATTAATTATTGTTGTCATTTTAATAATATTATTACAATTATTATTATTATTGTATATTATTATATAATTGATTATTAGAGCATCGCGAGGCGTCGAGACGCCACGTTTCACTTTTCACTTTTTTATTCGACAGCGCACCTTTTGTTTTTGTAGATAATTGTAGTTAGCAATGCCGTTTCTAACACAGAGCGGTGAAAAATAGAAAAGAAACGCAGAAACGCAATGTAACGCAATGACGCACTGCCTCTCTCTGCCATGTGCGCGACTATCTTCCGATTAAAAATTTCTGTTAGATTCCGAATATGGCGAAATCTCCGAATTATTAGTTGTATCGAGTAATTGCGTGCGATTAATCAGCCTACCGATTATAATTCTGTTCTTCGCACAGCATCGCGCGAAAACGCAATAAAATTTTGGCAAAACGAAAACGACTTTCTCTTTCTGAGAACTCGACTATTTTCCCTGTCAATTTCAGGAAAGCTGAAAAGAGAAAAGGAAGAAAAAGAAAAAGAAGCTGCGAGTCTTATCGCGAGAGAATTAGAGATAAAACGCAGTGGCTGCTCATTAATTCAGCTGACAGCTGTTATTAATTCTTTGTCAAAGCACCTGACGCCGTGTCCCTGCGAGCATTTATCAAATTATCAACAGCGCGCACGTTACAATTAATCGGCGCAATTAATAGGATTTTCTTTGCAAGAGTTTTTACTGCATTTAGAGATAGACACATGACAAATGACAAGAGCTCGGCGGCCGACGGTAAGAGCGCCAGGAGATTCGGCGTTTAAACACGCTCGTGATCGCGAGAGCAGAATACCCACGTCGAATAGCATTAATCGCACGCGAGGAACGTGTCTGATGAAGAGTGTTCGCCAATTCCGACCTCGGAACGGAAACCGCGTTTCAAAGTGGCGAAATACGTACCGATTCTCGACTAGCTACCACGATACACCCAGTTTAAGGCCATGTCTGATCTTATAGCAGGCATCACTCTAGGTCTGACTATGATTCCACAGAGTATGGCCTACGCAGCATTAGCCGAACTGACTCTTCAGATATTACAACTCATTTACTTAAGATTACGTGAATAAATGGATATTTATTTATAAGATTAATTAGAAACGTATACATAGCAAGAGAGAGTTGAGGAGTTTTTGTAAATAGATATTTTTTAGATCTCTAAATCTGTGATGTTTGAATTTCAAAGAATATGCTCCCGAATTCTGTTATCTTTTTATATACGTATCAAATCTTTTTAAGCTATTTTTAGGTTTACTACTGTTTTATTATATTATTTCTTTTTACTATTTTTAGAGATATCACATTGTAAATAATGTTTACAGTATGGCTTGTATTCTTGTTTCGTGGGTGGTTTCCTGTACATTATTTTCGGAACTATCAAGGAAATCTCAATTGGTCCATCGTCTTTAATGGCCCTCCTGACATTACAATACACGCGGGACATGCCGCAAGATTTCGTAGTGCTCTTCTGTTTTTTAGGCAGGATGCATAGAACTATTAATGGGCGTGTTAAATTTAAGCTCGTATCTTAAAATTATCTAACGAATCAATGTCCATTTCTATCAATATAGATAAGATTCATATAATTTATATAATTTTTAATACAATTATAGATAACTATGATCTTTTTAATTTATTCTAAGAACTGAAAAAGATAAAAAATAAGTTAAATTAAGATTAAAATTAGTTTATATTGGTCTAAATTAGTCTATATTAGTCTATATTGGTAGAAATCGATATAAGTTTCAATTATCTTTACTTATTCTTTTGCCATGTTTTTCGTCGTTTTTTCCATTGTATCAATCATAATTATACGCCGATGTAGAATTGATAAATGTGATTATTCCCGCAGGGTTTATGGTGAATTTTATATCGATCCCAGTTATTTCGGGTTTTATGTCGGCAGGAACGGTCATTATAATAATTGCTCATCTGCAGGGTCTCCTGGGACTGAAATATAAGTCGGCGGACAATCTGTTGTAAGAATTAGACGACCGTAAGCGGTCATCATGAAAGAGATTCAGAATATAAACAGCTAACAGAGAGGAGCCGTGGTCGTACAGACTAAGTGTCGGATTGGTAGACGAGGGATCCCAAGTTCAAATCCAGTCGGTCTCCGTTAATTTTTCCGAATCTAATAGATATCTTTCACTGTACAAACTCTTTAAAAATTTTAACAATAATATATTTGTGTTAAATATAATAATATTGATGATAAACCAATAAACCATATAATTTTCTATACTGATGAGAGAAAACATCATTTTTCATTGATACTGGCGTACTCTGGTAGAGCCGGGTACGCATAATGAAGAATTCGCGACTGCCATTTGAGTTTGCTGGCCCTGCATTGACCGTAGCCATAGACTGGACTGCTGATGGCAGTGATGGGAGTAGGAAGACGCGTAGAATGAGAGGCAGATAAATGGAACTTTCTTCTCTTTACTAAAACTAGATTGGTTGTTGTTGCTCTGGCAACTAATCCGGTTTTAATAAACAGAGAAAGAAGTTCATCCATTCATCTGCCTCTCATTCTACGCATCTTCCTACCCCCGCCACTGCCATCAGCAGTCTAGTCTATTAATATGGTCAAAAGTATAAATTACTTATTATAGATTCTTTGAAACTAGTCTAGTCTATTAATTTGGTCAAAAGTATAAATTACTTACTATAAATTCTTTGAAACATTTTTTGGTGCATTAGTAAAATTCTTTGTTTTGATTGGACAATCAAACGCTTCGAAGCATTTGTAGTGTTAAGTCTAGTCTACAATGACATAACATAAGGCATAAGGCTGTAAAGCGTGATTGTAAGAATCTACTTCCGGTTTAGTGCGAAAATTGCTTTTTTTTGGATGTCTTCTTGGATGAAGAGAACGATTAAAGTGGCTTTACGTCGGACCATCCAATGATATATTCGATAACTGGTTAAATTCACGTATTCCGTAATAAATCCGTTAAATGTTTGCCATGGAGAACTCGACTATGAAAAAACGGAACGGAATCATTCTGATTAGTTAGCCCCCCCCTCACTATGTTTCCTTTCCATTACTATTTCGTTCCGTTGTTTCTTCTTCACGGAGACGCACCCTTAGTTTTGTGCGCTTTCTAACTGCTTCAAGATTATAAAACGAACGCAGTTGCAATATGTTTTCTGAAGTTCCAACTGAAATAATGGCTGATATATCTAAATATTAAAAAAATTATAATTTTATATATATATTAATATTATATATAATAAAATAATTAATAAATAAAAAATTATAATATTAATATT